TTTTTGAGCCAGTATTACAAAATGACAAATTCAGTTTTTTTGGCATTTGCTCCCTCAAACTTCGCCCAGGTAGAAAAAGCAAGTTTCATGGACTCATGGTACCTTCTACCGATTTTTAGCGCAAGTGCCGTTTGATCCACTTCATCCACTTCGCTACTGGTCAAACCAGTAAACTGACAGTAGCAAAGCCGATATTCGCGGATCCACTTATGCGATTTATCCACTTCGCTATTGGTCAGTTTACTGAACTGACCATTAGCGAAGTGGATCACGTGGATCAAGTATGGAACCCAACATTCTTGATCCTCTTGATCCACTTGATCCGCTTAATCCGCTTCGTGCAAAACGCGCGCACACAGCTTTGTCATTTGGCGCCGCGTAGGTAAAAAGGTACTTTTCCGTGATCCGGACCCATTTTTTCAAAGAAGGATATTTCTTCTGACCTTGCATCATATTTGGTCCCAATTTCAAAGGAGGGAATGTCAACCTTCTTTCAAGTGTCAGAAAAATTTGACATGTCATCTTCATGTTTAATAGGTTTTACCAAGGGTTTGTGTTGCACTACTAGCGACATAAGCTCGATCTGGATTCTAGTCAACAATGACCCTATTTTTAATTAGACAATTTCTGAATTAACATTATTATAATAATGTCTTCCTGTTATCACCGAACCGATTAGACCTGCCCAGAATGGAGAAGTGCGCTAAGATTCCATCATCCAAGCGGCGTAACAAGCAGCAGCGCGATACTGTAAGCCATCATTTATAGTCTCCCTTGGCTAAATTCGCATGGCCAAAAGTTTGAAAAGAAAGACAAATTTGATTTCTTGCTGAAAGCAATCAAGATGTTTTGCGATAAGGTTCTAGACAGTTTTGCTTTCATAGAAAACAGCTGAAAGGCTTTTAAGTGCTCAGAATTGTTTTTTACCTCACCGGAAATGAATTCGAAAAAAAACAAGTCAAAATGGGCTAAAACGTGCCAAATTTTTCCTGACACGTGGCGGGAAGGCAGTCTTTGTAGAATCTATGAAAAATTGTTCTTAGACTAAAGAAAGTATTTTATTAGAGCCCTTTGAAGAAATGGGTCCGGATAACGGAAAAGCACCAGGAATTTTGTATGGTTACGCAAATTCGCTGTACGCGACGCCAAATGTATGGGTTGTTTCAGACTGCCGCACTGACTGCAGCAGACTGCAGCTGACCACACTGACCGCACCGGTCGCAGACTCTTTTTTTAAAAGAAAACAACCGCGATTACCAAAACAGCGTGATTTACGCATAAGAAGATCATAAGTTCCATCAGAATTCTTCTCAATCAAATTTTGGCGATAGGTTTTCTTTGGTATGTTCGTATTTGTTCTAATTCCTCCTATCATTGTATATACCTGTTTTGTAACATTCTAAACCGTGTTGTCTTTTGCTTTTACGTATATATTGTTGTTGTTTGTTTAAACCACAACTATTTATCCTCTCCGCCTGCATGCTACAGCCGCTGCGATCGTTGCGGTCAGTGCGGTCAGCTGCAGTCTGCTGCAGTCAGTGCAGTCAGCTGCAGTCTGCTGCAGTCTGCTGCGGTCAGTGCAGACTGCTGCAGTCAGTGGGCAGTATGAAACAACCCTATGGTTACGCAAATTCGCTGTACGCGACGCCAAATGTATGCTTACGCAAATTCGCTTTGCGCGACGCCAAATGACAAATTGCCGACGTTTTTTGCACGAAGCGGATCAAGCGGATCAAGTGAATCAAGAGGATCAAGTATGGCGGTCGCCTATACGGCCGGGCATACTTCAAGCGATTTCAATCGCGACGCGATTTGGCAATATTCCAAGTGTCCATAACTCATTGTAAGCACATTATAAATGTACAGAAGATAGGGTATTTCATCAGTTTACGTAAGTTATACACACTATGCATGTGCAGTTTACCAATGTTGGATCCGAAGAATTCTGGCGAATTGCCAAATCGCGTCACGACTGAAATCGCATGAAGTAGGCCCGGCGGGTGTGGTGCGGAAGGCGACAAAACCCAGCAGAGGCGAGGGAACGGTGGCCACGCCTCCCATTTGCCTGCTGTTTAGTGCTGGCCTCGAGTCAATTAGTCAGATTGACGCTCTTGTGGCGCATAGGCTGGCACCTGAATGGTGGCAGTGCCGTCTTCAACTACTCTGTTTTGTCCATAAGAGTTCGTTGCGTAAAATTGGTAGGTGTGATCACTCAGTGTATAAGGAAAGGTTAAGTAACGCAAGTTGTAGACTCGTATTTGTTTGCTGATAGCTAACTGACTGAGTGTGAGATTTGGCAGCGAAATTCGATTTCCGTCATCATCTAACGCATATGATCAGTTCCCAGGTTCGTGTGGAGGTGTGTTGCAGACTTTGCCTGATAACAAGGATAAACTTGTTGAACCTCCATGTTATAGCATTGCTTTTCGTACTCTCTCGCTAGCAAAAATCGCCCCACTGTGAGTTGGCAACTTCACCTCTACACCTCTACGAATCTGCATTCGGATAGAGATGAATAAAACACAATAAATGCTGCAAAGCAGTTTCCTTTCGAGTCTCAAAGTAAGAAGAATCCTCATTTTCAGGCAAAATGTCAACATCAATTTGTATCCAGCCGCACCTCGAACTCAATATAGCCGCGATATCTTTCAGAATTTAGCCTTTGTCAATACTTCAAGTTTATCTCATTTTTTCTGCTCACTATTCTTCGCTTGACAGGGCAAAGAGAAAAACCACTTTATTCGCAACAAAATCGCACCAGATATAGGACAAAAAAAGGAAATGATACTATCACTATCAAAAAAAAAGAAATCCCTGCACAAAGTTTCCAAAGTTCTTTTGTAAGTCTATTTGTTCCACATAGTCATTATCGACAACGGTATCACAAGGGACGATTATGTATACAGAAATACTGTATACAGAAGTGAATGAAGTCAAGTTTAACCATTTCTTCAAAAAAAGACAAGAACCTAGGACCGTTAGGATAGCTAAAATAAAAAAAACCATATGAATATACAAAAGTTAAACTTAAGCAGAATTTGGCACTGATAACTCGAGTGTAAGTAGCAGAGTTTACAGAATGCTCACGTCAATGGCCCTTGAGCTCGCCTCTTTCGAATGCACTTAGGTGTGAGATCCATCCTTCAAAAGATATCATCGGCGAAGTTCAAGCAGAAGGAGTGAGTGAGAGCTCTTACCTCATAAGTCCACAGCTATGGCGCACGAAGTTGAAAGCGATCTTTCTGCGAATATCTCAACTAAAATGGAATGATTAAGTCGCGCAAACATTTTGATGATAACAAAAAGGCTAGCTATGAATAGGGGGAGGACATTCATAAGGTTATATTATAAGAAAATGATGAAATGGAAAAGTAGAAAATCACAGAACACAAAAAAGGTGATACCTCTGATGAGTCAGGTGACGACTCCTCTTGCTCGCTTATATGTGCAACTACATGAAGGAACTCCGGCAATAATACATCTCATACCCCTATAAGCAAAAATGTTTACACAGAAGTTGACAGATATAGAACCTAAAAGATAGACAAGAACAGAGACAAAATGAATCACACAAACGAAACATGTAGAAAGCGTGCAGACGCGCTCCAGTGCAAAGATTGGAGGGACGAGAGTTGACGAGAACTCGGACAGGGCGTGGCCACTAGTCGTGCCTGTTCCAGGGCATTTGTCGCCTTCCGCGTGTTTCCCAGGCCCGGCCCTTGTGGCGCATGCGAATGCAATCGATCATTTAGGCGTAAAGTACGCGCTTTCTGCACTCACACATGCGCATTGGTACAGTGCCCATAAATCGAGAATGCGTCATATGTTGTTCGAAACCTGGAATCTGTTGTGAATTGTTAGAATTATGAGAATAAGTTCAGTTTCAGTGCGTAGTGTAGTTCTATATTTATTGAAGTTCTGCACTTTTCAAGCCTCTGAATATTGATGGACTTCATTTGTACTCCTCCGTGCTTTGCATTTCTCGATACCACGTGCCGTGAATGTGTCGCACGCCGTGTTTTCTCCCATCAGTCTCAGTTCTCTTATTTGACGGATCGTTTCCATCCAAACCTAAAAGAGCTTGTCGACTTTATAAAGTTCTTGAAGCGCGCATATATTAGGTTGAACCGAAAGTTCTGTCGCACCATTTCAAAAAAATCATAACTTCTTTCGGTCACGACGATTTTGCGCAACTCAAATTTTGTCTGAAAGCGTGAAGCATGTAGTTTCCAAAAGCTCCCTGGGGAGTTTCCGGCATGCTCAGATGGGGAGATAAAAATGAAAGAACAAGATCATCCGAAATTCGCAATTTTTAAGCAAGAATTCTAGAAATTCAGAAACAGTGCGATAAAATCCAGAAAAGCCATTATCCTAATTTTTCTTACATTTGATTACTATCGGAGTCAAGTTTGTGCTGAACGAGTCCTTCTTTCAAAAGTTATGATTTTTTGAAAAATAATGCCGAAAAATCAATTTCCTAAGAATTCTTAAGAAATGGGTTTTTTGGCATTTTTTTTTCAAAAATTCATAACTTCTGGAAGAAGACCTCGATCAGCACAAAATTGACTCCGATAGCAATCAGATGTAAGAAAAATTAGGATAATGGCTTTTCTGGATTTTATCGCAATGTTTCTGAATTTCTAGAATTCTTGCTTAAAAATTCCGAATTTCGGATGATCTCGTTCTTTCATTTTTATCTCTACCATCTGAGCATGTCGGAAACTCCGCAAAGAGCCTTTGGAAACTACATGCTTTACGCTTTCAGATAAAATTTGAGTTGCGCAAAATCGTCGTGACCGAAAGAAGTTATGATTTTTTTTAAATGGTGCGACAGAACTTTCGGTTCAACCTAATAGATAGTCTTCATTGATCTCGAAATTGTTGTTTCACCACTTTTACTGACTTTTTATGTTTTGATTCTGCCTCCCTTACGTATTTCCAGATTTTAATCAAAGAATTCCCTGTTTTGTGCTCCGCAGTACACGTGAACATCTTTTTTCAGAGTGGTTAGACCTGGTATGGTTTGGATAAGACCTGAATATCTGATTCTCGGTCAACCATTTTGGTAGGTACAGCTGACTCATTGCAGGCGCGTGTATTGATGAATTTACATTTTAGGAGCACTGAACAAGAGAACCAGTATTTCGCAATTCAAAGAAGAAAAGGCCATGGAACAAAAGGGTTTTCATCTGTTCTTGTAGCAACAATCGATTCAGTGTTTGATACTCGACCTGCACCATATCGTATCATTTATAAATACGACGACGATGATGTTCAAATTGCCATTGGTATTATTTGAAGCTTTGGTTTTTAGCGAAGTCATATTTGAAAAGCTGAATATAGTTATTGCTCATGCCGTGCGCAAGAATGAAATCCAGGAACACTGGGATTGGATAGAGAGAAATATTATGCCAACAGTAGGTAAGTAGCACATTGCTTTGATTACTGGTAGTGTAAATAACAAATCTTCCGAGCATGAGTGATCGATTTATCATTTAAGCTTCATTTACCACGGAACGGGATGTCAGGACCTTCGTACTGTGCAGGGTGGAAAGTCTGGTCCACATCGACGCCGAATCTGTTGCTGCTACAGGTTTGTCTAACTTGACCTTCTCGATCTTGTTTCGTCAATTATTTTAAGTTCCTCGTTTTTTCTTTTTTTCAAATAGTTTGTTTATGTCGCTGTATGAACAGTTTTTAGAAGAACTTGACTCGTTGGCTACTCGATCTGTCTTCCATAAGTTTATCACTATCTTCGCTTTGCCTTCAGATGAAAAATTAGTAAACTGTGAGCCGAAACTTGTTTGAAATATACGCAATACTAGTACCTCTTTGCACACTTTTTACAGATTATAGCTGCTGTTATTGGAAAAATCGTTTTCCCAATCAGGGACAAATATTCTTATCCGTGAATTTTCTTTGCTTTTATTCTTTCGTCATAGGAAATGAAGTTAAAATCAAGTTGAAATGGACAGATATCACGGTGAGCTTTGATGCCTGCCATCGGATCTGTTGAAATTCACTTTGAAAGTTCTAGAAACTTGACAAGGTTTCTACTATTTTATGGCCACAAAGTCTTCGAGTGGTAACGCGACAAGAAAGTTACGAGTTCTCCATGTTTCTTAATTTTGATGAAACATTCAAGTTGGCATCACAACTTGCCAATATCGCTATGAAACAGTGAGTCTGCAGCTTGCCGTAGCTTATTTTATCACAAATGTTCTTCTGAAATCATCCGTTCTCAGGCTGATCGAAGAAGAAGGCTTTTGCGAAGATGCCGCTCTGATGCAGAAAGCTTTTTCGGAAAGTGAACGAAAACGTGCCAAGAAAACGACGGCTTCATTTTTGAAACGAGATCTTGATGCAAGGCAACGAAGCGAAAGCTACAGGTCAGGTTTTTTTGCTCATGTTCAAGTCCGTTCTCAGAATTTGTGGTGGTTTTGCTTTCAGAATTTCTAGTTTTTTTTTCAGAATTTCTTGTGGTTTTTTACCTTGACTTTTGTTAGATCGGTTTCTCTCCGCATAGTATTCTGATTGTGTATTGTGAAAAAGATCGTAGGAAAGTTGAACAATGTTTTTGCGATGAACATAGCAACTTTTCAAAATCACTTTAAAATTTACTGAACTATCGACTGAATGTTTCAATCATGTCCGACAGGCAGTCCATTCCTTCTACGCTATCGATCACAATGAATCATTGCTCCTATACAATTCAGTTCAGTGCTCCAATCGCTTCTTACAGGCGAAAGAGTGCAGAATGCTTTTCGGCTTACGTTTTTGCCTCCTACGCCATGAAGTTTTGTCGTCCGTGTCTATATATCAGTCTGAAACGTTTCTGTTTGTCACAGATCTCAAATCATCATCTTGATTGCTTGCAATAATCGCCATTTTACTGTAGAAGATCTCATCACAACAGTTTTGTTTTTCCTAGTATTCATCGAACAACAGATAATGCTAGCGTCATCAGATAAGTGTCCCGAATGCGTTATCTATAAATAAATATGCCTGGAAAATATCTGCATTATTGAATCTTTAAGGCCCGTATGCACGTACATCCCCGCAGGGAGGGGAAGGGATCTGAGAAGGTAAGCGTCATATCTCGCTAGTCTACATATCTTTCTCTTTCTTTCTCTATCTTGTTTATGAACTTTCTCATACACTGATGCCTGCGTATAACGGATGCCAGGTTACTGCCATACAGGATTCAATATTTCGTCTGATCCCCTGGGGATCCCCAGGGGATCAACTCACATTTTTTAAGTCATTTATCTTCCTGAAAACTCAAAAATATGGTGCGAAAATGTACTGAAGATATACCACGATACTTCTGAGCATATTTTCGGCAGAAGAAATAATTCGAAAATTTTGGTTTTTTCGGTGATCACTGGCTCGCGAGCAGCGGTTCATCGAAGATTGTGACATCTTGAGATTTCACTCATTTCTACCATAAACATGTTTAGCAACGCTGTAGTATATCCCTCGTACAATTTTAGAGCATTTTCATTGAGTTTTCAGGAAGATAAATGACTTTGAAAATGTGAGGTGATCTCCTGGGGATTCCCAGGGGATCAGACGAAATATTGAACCCTGTATGGCAGTAACCTGGCATCCGTTATACGCAGGCATCAGTGTATGAGAAACTTCATAAGCAAGATAGAGAAAGAAGAAGAAAGATATGTGGACTAGCGACATGGCGCTTTCCCTCTCAGATCCCTTCCCTCCCCGCGGGGATGTACGTGCATAGGGGCCTTTAAGAGGGGATGTTTTTGAAAAATATGCAGTAAATCAATACTTGAATATCAACCTCAAGTCTTACAATCTCGAAAGTTTCTGTTCAAAAAGTGGCAACTGATTCAAAGTTGTCTTTTCAGTGCTGTTCAAATAGACATTGTTTTTTTTTTACATCCCGTAACTAACTTTTGATCTTATGGATTTGACATAGGCTTTGCGAAGTAGTGCTGCTTGGAGTGGTACATCACATGTTCATCTTCATTTCTCCTCTGTCTCACTCATTTGTCCGTTAAACATCCAGTCATGGGTCATGTAATCTACTTTTACATTGCCATCGCACAACCAATCCTCAAGCATCCGTTTTTTCTTTGAATTCGTCCTGCTCATCAAGTCCAGGATATATTCAAGCACCTAAAATAGTCCTTATGTGACTGCCAAACGAATCGAGGCTCTACCTTACCATTTCTGTGCTGCGACCCATATCGATTTCATACCATTTGAGTATTTTCCCTAGGTAAATGACTCTATTTTTCGTATCAAATCGTAGGAAGTGATTTGATTCGAGCGCTTTACAAGCATTGTCACGAAGCTCATCATAAACAAACTGAAAACTTTCTTGTAAGTTTTTATTATGTAATCAAGATCCAAGGAAGTACATTGCAAGTGTAGGCTCTGATAGGTGGGGTAGATCGAGTACCAGTGTTAAGTGCGAAGTGTACAAGAGGTTCGCATTGTGGGAGTATTAGCTGAAATACGATAGTGATAAAGACATCTCCTGCAAAAATTAATTAGCTTGCTTGCCAAATTTCCTGCGGGCTAAGCCCAAACCAAAAATAAAAACTTCACGAGGCTGATTTGAGTTTCAAATTTTGCAAATCACCCTTATTACAATTATAAACAATGCACACGTTCTTATGAGTCACTAGCTGGTGGCCCCGGTTTCACCCGAGACTTCAAGTTAATTAAGCCAACAGAACTTGTAAACTTACGCCTTTAGATTTCTTCTAACATGCGCATAAAGCGCTATCAAACTAATTGCCGCGCCCTACCAACTTTAAGGCTGAAATGGACTTTACCGCCCCTGCTTACATGCTTATATGTAAAAATGATCGGTTGCCATGATGGTCCTTCATTTTCTTAGGTTTGAGTAAACAAATCAATAAATCGATAGAATGGCCCGGCGAATCGCCGCGGAAAGTAGCTCTAAACCACCGCCGGGGTCGAAAATATACGTGCGCGAAGTTTCAGCCGGATCGGTTCAGTGGCGCGCGTTTCTATAACGAACGAACAACTAAACGAACATCCTCACAGACATTGAGTTTTATATATATATATATATATATATATATATATAGGTACATATATATATATATATATATATATAGATAGATATAAGTAACCCATCAATCTTGCCTCGCCACGCCCTTTTTCTGCTGTCTCTCCCCCCAACCCCCCCCCCCCTCCCCGGTCCAGCACTGTCTACTGATTCTTGATTTTTTTTTCAAGTGATAACCATCATACTTGCTACTTATTTTTGTCTTTCTTCTTCTTTCTTTTTTACACTGCATTCAAAATACAGTAGTCAAAAAGTTTGGTTTTGGTCTATCTAACAAGGGAAGTGTGTTCGGTCGAAGTGGCCTTTTCAAATGAAATTGATACGACTATAAAGAGCATCAAACGCTGATTCCAAATCTGTCTTCGTTATCTGCCGAGCGCCTCTAGACGTCGAGTTATGAATATTTTCTTGGTGCGAAAAATGAACGCATAATCTAAGCAAAATAAATCTCACGGTCTTCTCAGCGCTCAAATAGAGCAGTGTTAAGTATGAGTGCTTTGGATAAAAGATATTGTTCAAATAAAGTGCTTTGATAATCAACATTGGACCATTTGAGCAATTCTGACGAATATTGTCCTAAGTATGCAGTTAATTTCTCAACTCAAAAAACGCTTATAACTCAACGTCTAGGGGCGCTCGGCAGATAAAGAAGACAGATTTGGAATCAGCGTTTGATGCTCTTTATAGTCGTATCAATTCCATTTGAAAAGGCCACTTCGACCGAAAACACCTCCCTTGTAAGTTCCGTTCAAAATTTTAAAATTTTCCTTTTGAAAAATGAAGTTTTAGGTTGTAGTTTTCTTTGTCTTCTGCTCAGCCTTTGATCTTTTTTTAAGAGGATTTGCTTGTTGACTCACTGGTAATCTCTGGTCTTTCTTTCCAAATGGCTTCCAAAGAGCTGCCAATCCTTTGCGATTAGATCGAAGAATACCGTTTAAGATGGAATGCGGAGCATATCTGTGATCTTCTATTTGGTAATAGCTGCAGTTCATCAGCTAAAATCCTACGTTGCTGTTTTGCTTTCAATTTGTGAACCTCTCATCTATTTTTTCATCACCTTTCTTCGTTCCCAAATATTTCGCGGGGCTCCATTGATCTGTGTTGTATGAATCGACAACATATTGAAAACATTCACGAAGAATGCTAGCCTTTCTTGTGGCGAAGCCTCGGAAACTTTGACAGCGCGCAGATTTTTTACCTGCTCGATGTATGCCTTGTAGTGTTTGTTCTCGGGCAATTTATAGTAGAGAATTTTCTGAAATTCACTGCAGAATTACTACGCTTGATGAAAGAAAGTTGGCGTTACCCGATTATCATCTGTCAAAATATCGTGAAACAGTTGCTTCATGAGATTGGCTAACACTTCATTGTATTCTGATACTGTATATTCTCCTTTAGGGGCTCCTGGATTAAGTGTCCCATCCTGGTCATCTTCCGGGTCTTCCATAATCCTACAATACTTTTAAATGATTGTGCGGTATCATAGTTTTTGACATTTCATTATGCGCAAAAAAGCTTACAGTACTCTAGTATGTGGGTATTTACATTCGCGTCTTCTCTAATCTAGCACACGATTTTTTCATTTAGCGTATCAAGATCAGGCAAAAAGCAAAAGGTGGTGTGTCTTTTGGATTTTCTGTTATCTTGCGCATATTTTCAATCTGTCAAATCTTTTACATCTCGAATCTTGACAGCTCTTTCTTTTTCTGTGAATTAATATCGCCTCTGATCTCTGGATTGTACAAGGTCAAAGTGCTTGAAACATATGTGATAGGCGGGAACGTGAAAGTGAATTTGAATGAAAATGCACAATTGACATAAAGTAGAGAGTTTTAGTGGGATTAGACATGCAATTTGTTATATAAGGAAAGTAGGGAAAAGTCTGCAGTGTTCTTTGTTGACAGCTAAAAATAATGTAACCTATGTCAGAAAAAATTCTAGGCATTCCTAATTACATATTATTTATTTCTGTGGTTAAGCTTTTGTAGCTTTAGTCAATTGAAACACTTTTTTCTCTAACACCACTACGTGCGAATCTATCCCAGCGGTCGAAAAAGAATTTCTTATCGATGTGTCTTGCAATAACGAAGCCCTGGAAAGTTTTTTTTCGACAACAGCATGATATTCAGCGCTTGTTTGTTCACTGTCATTAGGAAAAGGAAACGGTTTTGTTGTTTTTGAAATTCTTTGGATTAGAAGCAATCCGGGGCGCAATTTAAATGAAAATTGGTAATTTGAGTTAGTCTAAATCTTCCATTTTACTTACTTTCCCGTTTCAATGTCACAAACCTTCGCCGGCATCTCCTCATGTTCATCGATTGTTTCGCTTCTGAGCACTCCATTATTGTAGTCTTAATTGTGTTCCCCTTTACTGTTAGATTCTTCAGCATCGAAAATTTAACAGTAGGCAAAAATTTTACCTGTAAAATGCCCATTTATGTAAAGATCTGAGTAGGCGTTCGTGTAAAAATCTGAGTAGGCGAAGTCCGTGTGTTCATCATCGGATTCCCACGTAGGGCTGTAGCGAAATGCATCCTCTTCAGGAGGGACCGGAACAGAAGCCCCATCTGATACAGGTAGCATAAGGAGTGTCTGAAATACGTAGAATGAATGTTTTATGACTAATTGATCGGTGAGTGATTCGTCTCTCTAATCGTGCAATTGGTGAAAAGAATGGCAGAAGTCCGTCTTGTGTGTTTGACACAAAAGGAAAGTTCAATTGAAGGAGAGCCTATTACAGCGTAATTTTCGCGAAAGGGTAAGTTTGGCAAGACGTATCTATCTGAGATAGTTAAGATTTTATTGGTTCCGTGACGTTTTCCGTTGTCGAGTTCATCGCTCGTTTCTTTTGATTTATCGCTCTAACAGTTTTGTAAGTTGTTAAAAACGTTCGGCGGAATTACACCTTCAGCGAGTAAGATCATATAAGTTAAAGAATATCACGGACCAGAATGTGCAGTGTCTAGGTATTGCATCTACCATGGGCTTCGCTTCATCAGTTCTTCTTTGTGAGAGCAATTACTTTTATTGACTCCCTGACGAGTGAATGCCATAATAAATCTGGTTAGCAAAATATCAGTTTTTTGAAACCCTTATTTTTCAACTGCTATCTATCACATTTCAACTTCTTTCATATACAGGGTGTCCCAAAAAGATGTGCCCACTGTTTGATTGTTAATAACTCTCTTGCTTTCATGTCTTTTGCCGAGCTTGAGGTACCATTCTTTAAAGCGAGGTTCAACTTAGATTTACAGTATAGAGCGACTGATAAGCAGCTCTTCAACTGTAGGATTACGGTAGGAATTTCGAGGAGGATTTTAAGCCATTGAATGCGGTAATTTGCTTCAGTAAGAAAGCCAAACAAGCCAGAAACTCTTGAACTGGGTTAATTGAAGTTGCTGATTCTAAATATGAAAATTGCACGTCAACACACTGTTTCTTTCATGAGTTATTTCAGATTTAGGGTAACATCTGATTTTCCAGTGTTTGTCGGAAATGTGATACGCCACCAAGAAAGCTCGAAAAACTGGTGGAAAGTTATGTAGTAAAATCAGCACGCCTGAAAACCTTGCTACACAAATTTTTGGATTTTTTCGGAGTTATTTTATCAAAAGGCTTATTTCACAGTTACGCTGTAGGCTGAAAGTTTATACCGTGATTCTACAGTAACGAAGAGTGATTGGTGGTTCGCTCCATACTGTAAATCTAAGTTTATCCTCGCTCTACAAAATGGTACCTCAAGCTCGGCAAAAGAATGAAAGCAAGAGAGTTATTAACGATCAAACAGTGTGCACATCTTTTTGGGACACTCTATATAGTTAAACTATCTATCTTGTAATATTTGCAAGTTTATATAGAGGATGAAGAAAGCATTCTTACAATTTTTTCTTTGCATCTGGTTAACCTTCCCGAAAGACAGTAACGAGTAGTTTCCCAGTAGCTGCACTTATCATGTGGTTGGAACTCCTTACTCAAAGACAGTGTCTTGGCAGAAATTCGTTTTCGAGTTTCTCCTTTTTCGAGCCTTTTCGTCATCAGGAATCCATATCTGGGCTTTTGAGCGGATGGAAAAGGCAAGATGAGCTTTTTCCAAAGCTTTCCGGATCCGCATTCATTGAAGATAACCAGAAGTCTTCCGCGTCCCGCCTCCCTCGTTCCGGGTCCCGCCCGCTGGTACGTATTTTTACTGAATGCGGACCTAAAAATCTTCGGAGAAAGCTCATTTCCGCCTTTTTCATACACTAAAAAGCCGAGATATATGCTCCTTATGGCGAGAAGGCTCTGAAGAGGTGAAAATTTAGAAAAGTAAATTCTGCCGAGACACTGCCTTTAAGCCATTACCAAAGCGGCAGATTATATGATTTAATCCTGGCCGAAAGATGTGATTGGAACAAGAACTTTTGCCTAGATCGTACTCGTTATTAGCGGGTAGCCGGCATCCCGTACGATCTGGGCGAGAAAAGTCAAAATGGCATGCGGACGGAATATGACCCTTTTGACGCAAGTCGTTCGCATGCCATTTTTTCTGTGTCTGTTATTCTCCATGTTGTACTCCCTTACTCTCTCGATAAGAACATCTTATCAGTGTGCGATGATAATTTGAGATTTTGAGCTGTCACGTTTCCTGACAATATTCATTCCATTTGATGCAAAGCGGAACTTTGGATGTTTTTGTCTTTTTTGGGTAATCAGTCCTATTTTCAGATGTCGCTTCAGTTTGCCACATACTGAGAAGTTGGATGGTGACATCGAATGCCGCCTGTTCACGCCATATGATCGTCGACATGTTGTCGGACGACTCTACCTTTCTGCTCATTTTGTCTGTTTTGCTAGTCGTGTGAGTCAACTACCAATTTTCTCTTATCTTGCAGATCATTGTCCATCCTTTTACAAGCTTTTTTTTTCTATCTTTTCGACTGCTTTGCAGACCGAACGATTAGTGTCGGTTGTGCTCCCGGTTGTCGACATATCCTCCGTAGAAGAATGTACAGCGGCATATGGAGAAAATTTAACAAGAGGGTCTGGATTGCTCATTTGTTTGCAAAACGGGGTAATTAATTGAAGTTTACTTTGTGCGTCATGCAATGACTAAACCGGTTTGATTGAAATGCGTGTATGTGTCAAAGTTTAGGGGACCATAGTTTTTTCATGGGTACCGGATGGAGATCGAGTACTCGCCAAAATAACCACATTTGCGGAACGATATCGGATTGAAACAACAATGAAGAAAGCGGCAGTAAAGGTTAGCATTTGCGTTGAAAATACTGAAAAGGTTTAAAGTTTCCTTTTATTTATCTTCTGATTTCTTTTGTTTTTCCCATTTCTTCAAGTTTTCCTTTCTCATTTCCTATATTATTTTTTAGTTTCGTAGCACAGATCTTAGGCCTTGGACATACCTCAAGCAGTTAAATTCGCCACGCGATTTGGCATTGTCCCAAAAGTTTACATCACTTTTCAAACACATCTTGAATTCCTAAGTAAGGCATTTTATCAGCCTATATGAGTCATACGCACCGCGCTTTCGAACAGTGGGTACGAAGACGTCCGGCAGATTGCCAAATTGCGTGGCGATCGGAATCGCGCGAGGTATGGCCAAGGCCTTAGTGTCTTTGCGAAGTCTCGAGGGAGAATTTTTTAGGAAATACAGAAGATTAGAGAACTCTTTCAAGGAACAGACTTATAGGGTCCTCCACCTGCAAAGCTCGAATGTCTTCAATATCCTCTGTATCGCAAATATCCATGTGTCACCGACGCAGACGATAGTTGCCGGGAAAAATGGAAACGACTTTTTGATGATTTTGGAAGAGGAACAACTATGTACCGAACAGTGGAACTACATCGACTACTTCTAGAGGGCGTCCCCATCGATCTTCGAGGAGAGGTACTGGGCAGGTTGTTTAGCCTGTTTGGTTCTCAAAGCAGTTCCTTGCAGATATGGATGACTTGTTCCGGAGCCAGAGCAGAGATGGAGCTGAATCCTGGTTATTATGAAGAATTATTGAGAAAACATGAGTCGGTTTATACGATAGCACTCGACGAGATCGAAAGAGATCTGTACAGGTATGGAGTGCTCAAATAGAAGTTTCTCTGAAGATAAAGGTTTTTCATCAAGTAGTTTAATGTACTCAGTTAGTTGAGTTTATCTTGATTCATTCATCCTTTATTATCAGTAGACTAGTTTTTTTAATGTATTTATCTATTTTGATTGATATTTTAATTGAGTTTATTTCCATTCACTTTATTTTATTTTAGAAGTTTACCAGAACATCCAGCTTTCCAAGATGGAGAAGGGATTGATGCATTGCGGCGTATCCTGACTGCGTATTCTTTCCGTAACCCTAATATAGGTAAAAAGGATTTTGCACATTGTAAAGCTTCAATTTATACAGCTATCCTCCAGGGTATTGTCAAGCGATGAACATAGTAAGCTCGGTGCTATTGCTATATGTGAAAGAAGAGGAAGCGTTTTGGCTTTTGGTAGCAATTTGTGAACGATTGCTGCCAGATTATTATAATAACAAAGTCGTTGGAGCTCTGGTTGATCAAGGTATGCATAAATCTCATCTTCATGTTGAACTTCTTTTGCTTTCATTTTTAGGGAGACTATTTTTCAGTGCTTATCGATTACTATACTTTGTCAGATCAAATTTTTTTCTACTTTTTATCGCATACTTTTATGATCAAAAAGGCAATATGATTTAATGATCGTGGTACTTCGCTCATGTTAGGCATTAAAGGCCCTGGCCAGACTCCTTTCAAAAGCGCTCAAAAACGCTCAAAGGCGCCCAAACTTCTAACCTCTACTCGCTCTTTCTCATCTCTCCTCACACGAGAAAGTGAAGAGACACCGGAGAAATTTGGGCGCTTTTGAGTGAAGTCTGGTCAGGGCCTAATTTTGTTTCCAGCTTATCTTAACATCGGCATACATATTTCTGGATATTTTGGGTATGCATATTCATCAAATTTTGCATCTGAAGCTATTAATTCAAAATATATTTTCGGAAGTTAAAGTCAACTTGTCTACTTTTTTCACTTTGAATAATAAGGAACACCATTATTTTTTCAATCAAATTTGTTTCTTTTGTTGGATCACCACACTTTCTTATAGGAGTCTTTACTGAGCTAGTGGAACGCTCACTACCAAATATTGGTGCTAAGCTTTCCGAGCTTGGATTGGGCGATATGGTAGCGTTATCGTGGTTCTTGACAATCTTCCTCAGTGCGATAAAGTTTGATGCTGCAGTAAGGATACTGGATTTGTTCTTCTTCGAGGGAGCAAGGGTAAGGAATTTTTGCCACTTTTGAGATTCGATAAAATCGTATACTTTATGGTTTCAGTTAATGTTTCAAGTGGCAATGGAAATGCTACGCGAAAATGAAGCCATGATTTGTAACTCGAAGGATGATGGGGAGACACTTATGGCTTTATCCTCTTATGCAGACTGTATCCATGAACATGCGTCAGAAGATGGCGGCAAGGTAGGTTGCTTGTTGGTATTTACCATAAACTTCTAGATGTAGACGCTGCGGTACTGTTTCCATTGTAAATTTAATTGTAGAGATCTGTGGGTGCCCTCTTGACAGCCTCATATAGAGATTTCGGTTATGCGTTCACCAACGAGCAGATTGAGAGGCTTCGGTTGAAGCATCGTTTGAAGGTTGTACAGGTCTGTCATCCTCATTTTGAAAGTTTCATCTAATCATTTGGTCTTAATTTTCGCTTTTGCACAATGTTTATGAATAATCATGCATTTTCTTCTATCATTCGTATTTTACGAACCTCAGTTTTCAGTCTTTTTGATACACTTCTGTAAAATCTGCTGTCCAGCAAATTTTAAATGCTCTATTTTCTTGTTGGTGTTGAGCCTGAACTTTCTATGCACCAAATTTTTTCGCGTCATTGAAATAGAAATATGTTGAGGTCGCTAAGTAATTTTTCCCTGTAATTAAACATCATTGTGACGCCTTCCATATCTTTGAAGGAAAGTGCATTGTACTCAAAATAGCGAAGAAAAACCCAGTTTTTGTGTACAGAAATGCACATAATGTGAGGACTTTGAGACTAGAGGAAACTGTGCTTGGTATATAATTTTTTGTAATATAATTTGCTATTTGCAGACTCTTGAAGATAGTCAGATGAGGAGCATAATACGAAGTGTTGGTAAAGAATGCAAGTTTTCTACAGAAGAGTTGGAAACCCTCTACAACATTGTAAAGGTATTTTTTGTTTTTATTTCTTTCCTGTTATTTACAACAAATTTGTACCCCATTTTTATTGTGTCGACGAACCCCCAATTTTTTTTCGATTTTTTTTTGTTGGGAAAGAGAATGTTTCTCATCTTTTATCCTGTCATGTACATATTTATTATCATTTTTACATTGTATAGTATTCACGAGACTTGTAACAAGTATCCATCTATTCCTTTGCTGCACATATAATACTATCAAGCGGATAGTTTTGCATAGTCCACGATGTGCCATTGCATTCGTAAAAGAACATCGGAGGGTCTGTTTTCGTATCTTCAGGGGCGTGAACATCACACATTTTTGAGTTTGACCATCGAAAATGGACGGGAAGAATTTAGATAAGCGGAATGTTATCAATTCAAAAGCTCACCTCACTAGCATGTATGGCTCATCGCATATGACTGTTCGGCTACAGTTTGTACTTCCGTACAACATATCTTGCGTCCGATGTTTCGGTGCCATTTTGAGCGCAAAACCCCTCTGGAAAATGATGACTTTATAAACGAGCAGTTATGCGTTACCTTGACCTTCTTATTTTTTTTCTCATTCAAAGCTTTTTAAACTACGAATGTGATCACATCGATACGATATCATTGAAGCGTTACCACAGCACCCATTCAATCCCCTTCGCCCTTCGCACAGGATATGTTTGCTTTTTTATCTAAAATTATTCTTCCGTCATTTCCCGCGCTTTTTTTACTCAACAAACATCACAAATATATTCATCTCTATGCTTGCTTCTCTGTTCAAACATTCATCGGCCATTTTTTTGCTCTTTTCTACCAGCTCGAATCACAATTACGTCTTGCAAATGTTTGTGTATTAGTGGATATGTTTGTTACTTTAGTCAAATTATTATCCGCCCTTTTCTTGCGCATTTTTTATTGGGTTGGCTAAAAAATCTCGTTTTGGCATGAAAATCTTCATAAAAACTTTTCTAGTTGTTTTTTACTCACAATTTTTTGTAGATAAGTAGTTCATAGCTTGTTCTATCACTTAATAACTATTCAGAAAATTCAAGTTATCAGTGGGAGACACATTGCCCCAACATGCCCAAAATTCCAAAAGCTCAATTCTACGACTTTCTAAGCTTCGTTTTCATGCTTTGATGGATGTAGAGAATAGCAATATGGCAACTGAATATATAAACAAGTTTTCACTAGCGATAAAAATGTTGATAAAAATTGTGACCTGCGATTTCAAATTTTTTTGGCCGAAAAAAGGAACAAATTTTCTCATAATTGCGCACAATGGAAAACCGGTTTCTCACATCTTTGCGAGTTTCTTTCAATTCAAAATAAACTTCACTTCAGTATATTTAGGCTTTAATTCTCATTGAAGTGATTTTTGAAAAGTAAATAGTAAGTAATGGACAAAAAATTGTTTGCACCACCTGTAGGAGCCTCAAAACCGACGAAATTATTTAACAGCCAACCTAATACTAGTTAGAAAGCAGATATCAGGATTAGATCTCGAAATATTTGCTACAAGATTTTCATTCACCCTTTTCCGGCGCATTTTTTTAACAGGTTAGAAAACAATCATTACAAATATATTCCGCAAGCTTTCTAAAATTGTCGATTGTTTGCTTAGTACGCCAAATGACGGAGTGAATGTTGTTGAGTGCAAATGAAAGAGAAAGCTTTTTTTATTTGAAAGATTGCAAGAACAGGAAAGTTACATTCATAGCCGGACACTCTAATTCGTGGTGGAAAAATTAGCGAAGTGGACGTGCTTTCGCTGCGCATTTCTTGCACTTCAAGATATTTTCCGCGTTCTCAAATCTGGTCTTCGCTATTTTGCAAAGATGTTCGTCATGTTCATTATTGTAGAAGCGAAAGTTTGCGAAGTGCTTTTGATGAACTATATGATGGAAAAGACTGATAAAAACTCGTGGAAGTGTGGACTGTAGCAAAGGGCGGCGAAATGGATCCAATCTACTTCTTTTTCCAATGTGCCGAAATCGAATCAGACGTTTTTTCGCAAAAGCAAATGTGATCTAGTGGTCAGAACTAGATGCAATCAGTTTAATTCAGGCTTTAGCCCGTTTTCGATGAAATGGATTATATACCGCTAATTGATATATCTGAAGCTGATTTGTAGCCTGCGGTCATTAAGACATGCATAAGTGATAGAAATATTAATTCGTATTCGTCATTATTGAAAAGATTTAAAAGTTGTGTGCCCTCGGTAGAAAAAATATGCGCAAGATAAGCAGCTTGAACTGCTGTGGATGCAGTTTGCTGAACTTAACTTGGCGCCATTAAATAAGCATAAGAACGCAAAATGTACCCATCTAGCGTTGTGGTAACATAGTATTTAGAAAAATCTAGGTATTTGAATTTTTATGTGGAGACTAACTGAGATGCTTTTAGTGATTCACTCATACGATAAATTATATTATACTCCGTAAAGACCTCAACGACACTCTCGTCCAGTACCGTACCCGTTCGAGCGAACCCAATAACGTTTTCGAGTATGCTACTGAACAGAGCTCAAGAGATGAATTTTCTACCAGCGAATGAACTATATGAACTACCACTTGAGAAATGGCTTAGTCAGCTTTTTGTTGGCATTTTTACCTAAATTTTTCTTTGATTGTCTATGATCAGTAAAATATACGTTTGTCCCAGTGGCGTACCCAGGATTTGCGCTCGGGGGGGGGGGGGGGGGCGACGAAAATTTTTTTCGAATGAAGGTGCGTGGCTTTAGTCACGCACTCCGGAAAAATTTTAGGGGTGCTTCTCGAAATTTTTGCAGGTCCCCAACCCCTACGGTACGCCACTGGCGTGTCCCCTTTTCTGCCCATGCTCTTAAATTTTTCTATCTTTGATGGATGATTACAACTTCAAATATATCACATCGATTTCATCACATTTTCGAGGATGTAAGAACGAAAGTTGAATGAGCGCATAAAGATTACTTTTAAGGAGTGCAAATTGCAGTTTCAATCATTTTGATTAGTTAGGCCATTTTGAAGCTAAAAGACGTTTTACTTCATAGTTTTTCAATAGAAAATATTCGTCTTAGAAATCTGCCTCTATCTGTTTGCCTGCATCGTAAATTTTCAAGACATGAAAAAGGAGGAAAATGTGTTTTAATAAGAAAAATATGTTTCAATAAGTCAAACATAAATGCTTTGCACTTTTTAGTTTGGATAAAATTCATGTTGTAATTATCTCATAGTTTTTCTTTGTCTAGAAGCTCAAAAATGCATTTTTGAATATGCCTCACAAACAGTTATCGAAAATATTTGATATCTTGCACATACCTTTACATGCTTCCAGTTGGAACAGAGTACTTCTGGCTCGAGATTGTGGTCCATAAATAGTGGAGGACAAGGGCATTGCTCAAATAGATTATTGTTAAAGACATTGAAGTATTGCTGAGTTTCTTGAGTTTCTTGTGGTGACACTGTAGTATCCCGTTGTGAAATTACAGAAACATGAATAACTGGAACTTTCGTGGTGACGGTTTCACCACTTCCATCCATATCGGTATGTATTTCGCTTATGAATGCTCGAGTTCTTCCGTCGTTGCTCGCCTGAGGGAAGAAATCTTCGTCGTGGGCCATCCTGGCTGCTTTTTGGTAAAGCTGTACATGCTCTCGGATCTGTAATTCTGTTTTTGAAGCACGGGGTGTGGTCAGATCGTCATTTTTTCGAGGGTTCGGGACCTTGTCGACGCGTACCGTCGAAGTATCTTCATCTTTATGGGCGTCCGATCGTTTATCAAATGGCTGCTGCTTTATCCGACTTCCCAGCTGCCTTGCTCGTGACAAGGTCGTGCCATCAGAAGGTGTTGTCCTGACACAACTCGAGACAGATGTGGCTAGTAGTAGAAAGGCGAAGTGAAGCATCTGCTAGGCGAGGTGAGCGCGGCACGAGCGCCGAATCGGGAAGGAGACAAATTTGTGGATCTGTCGCGCCCATCTTCCACCCTTCGCCACATACAGCGCAAGATTCACATGCTTTTTATCACCCCCTATATGGAATTGAGAGGGGCATCCGTCTAATGACCTGGATATCGGCTCTCACAATGTGAGATAATCTATATTTAGGCGTGTAGATGTTATCAGTTCATCGGATGTTGACTTCCTTCTAGTGTCACTGTGGGCCTCTGGCACTTCTCCTCTCTAACTAATAAATACAGGGTGTCCCAAAAGCATGTATACTTTTTTTGATCACTATTATCTCTCTTCCCTAGAAGTCTTTTGGTTGCCTTCAGGTACCATTTTGTAGAGCAAGCTTCAACTTAGATTTACAGTGTGGAGCGAATCAACTATCTTCGTTCACTACTGTAGGAGTACGGTAGGAACTTCAAGGAGGGTTTTGAGCTATTGACACTAGGCTAATTTAAGTCGCTTACACCAAATATGAATTTTGCATTTGACCGCGATGCTTCCTTCATGACTTATGCCTCGTAAACTGTAATAGCTGTTTTTACTATGCTCCCTAAAATGCAGTCACACCTTTTGAAAAGCTTTGCAAACTCCTAGAAAGTTGAGTAATAAAATCAGCGCGCGTAAAATCCCCGGTTCACCACTTTTCAGAATTTTTGGAAACTTTTCTGAACAACGAGTAGTCCGCAATAACGCAGTTAGTCAAAAGTTCCTGCCATAATCCTACAGTATTGAAGAGTGGTTAGCTGCACACTGTAAATCTAAGTTGAAGCTAGCTTTACAAAATGGTACCTCATGGTAGGTAAAAAACTCTTTTGGAAGAGAGATATCAACGATCAAACAGTGTATACATACTTTTGGGACACACTGTATGTTGCTTTTTTCGTAAAATCTTAAGAAAATTAGATTTTTTACTCAAAAAGTTGCGGGATCATCATATGAAAACTTTTTCTACATCCTTCCCGTTTACATAAACTTCAAAAATTTGATCAGCCAATATCTTCTGAAACGCTTTATCTAGTGTTTTGGGTTATTGGCTATCATCTGTTTTTTTTCACTGATGTAACGAAATTTGACGAATGTCTTGGTCTAATTATTATCCATTTTTGAATTCTTTCTGTCATTTGAAGTAGAATTACGAGGGCGTTAGCTTTTTGCATGTCGTACATTTTTCCTTCGCGAAGTTCCTGGAAATTCGCACCTTACACTAGCTAACATCAAGCTAAGTTTATGTCACTTCAGTCAAAACCTTCTGACAAGGGAAGGGTACTTGGTCGAAGTGGCGTTTCATTATGGAATGTATACTGTTTTATAGAGCTTAGAATGCTTATTTCGAATCTGCTTTTCATATCTGCAAAGCTCTTTTGGGAAGGAAGTTATGGTTTTGGAGCAAAAATTGAACTCGCGGCTACCATAAAATCATTCAAAGTGCAGTCTATGAGCTCGAATGGGACTATGATCACTACCAGGTTTTATGGAATACTACCCTCTTGCCAGTCGTTACTCCTTTCAAGCGCCGGCAAGATCTCAACACCTGTTTTTACCCTAGCCAAACCATTGAATTTTTACCAAAAAAAAATTCCCAGAACTCCTCTCCTAGAAGCGCTTTGCAGATAAGGAAAGCAGATTTGGAATCAGCGTTCCATGCTCTATAAGGCAGTATACATTTCATATGGAAACCGCACTGCAACTAAGTCCTTGTATGTTTCTTTCGATTGAGCAAATAGCTGCATACCAATTGCTGCCCTACCTGGGCAACTACACAGAAAAAAAACTAGAAGTCCGCAGTTTACAAGCTTATAAACTCTCATTCAGTCAAATTTTCTGTGCAGTACTCTTAATTGTTGATAGCGTTGTTCTATGCTTGAAATAATTTGTATGGATCTTGAATTTGTTGGAAACATTTATTTTTGTATTTGAGAGAAGCCGAGCTTTAGAGAAGCCTGTAGATTTGAAATATCATACATGACACATATTTTATATGATTTGATGAACTTGTGTTTTGCTGAGCTCAAAAGAAAAAAAAGTTAGTTCCACAGTGGACTCCTCAATATTGTTTCCTTAGCTTTTTTAAAGAAGGAGTCTCTACAACCAAAATTCTCAGCTTTCTTCATTGTGAACTAGCTTCAATGAAAGGAGCGCTGTATCTCGTTCTTTGTTGCTAGACCTATCTTTCTATCAAATTTTTTTGGTCATATAGTGGGTGACGTATTTCTCTTCGAATGATAGCTCACTGATCTCTGATCTGATTTCTAGACTTTCCTCTCTTTCTGTCTTTCTAAAGCAATGTTTCACAGGAAGAACATCTTTTATCATGGCGACTTCGAATTGGAGTGACAGCAAGATGTCAAGCGGCTTCACTTACGGAAAGACCAAAGCCAGATCCATGTGCGCAATCTCAGTACAGGTAAATAAGATGTGACAGCGCTGTATATGGGTTTTTTCTATTTTTTTCATTCAGGTTGGATTACGACCTGTTCTATGAAGTAATGAGGCGCTTACTTCCATGGCCGGTCACTTCCAACTTCGTAGTTCGTCTTTTTAGGGTAGGTTTGTCGTAAATTTATGGTTTTTCCGAGTTACCGAACTTCTTTCTAGTTACTCGATGTGTCTGATAGTGGACTACTGACATTCCGTGATTTGGCTCTTACCCTATCTCTACTCCTACTCGGTGACGCTACCGAAAAATTAGCGGTTATCTATAAATGCCACATTCCACCAGCTTTCAATATGGCTGACCTTGACGACATAGCCTCAGTGGAGGATGTGCGAGAGGGTTGGTTGGTTGTGGAAGGTGGGTTATTTCGCTCAGGTAACTGTAGTAATGTATTTTCTTCCTCTAGGTGAAACTCCTGAAGTTGCTGTTGATGCAATGGATATGTTAGATCCTCCGAAGTCATCCGAGGGCCCATCAGCTGAGAGTAGCCCCTCGAAATGTGGCGATTCCGTTAGTGAAATTGTAAGTTCCTATTTATGTGAAAATTCAAGTTCTCATTTTCCTCTATTTTTCGTATTGTTGAGTTATTCTATTGATTTAAGTTCATTTTGTTGCATATTTATATTGCGTGGCTTTCCGAGGAGGGGAGAAAGTGTTGGGGGAGGGGGGGGGGGCTCCCTCAGAGAAATAGTCGCGAAGTTTATGAAATTTGCTTACATGGGTTATAAGAATGTGCAAGTGACTGGTTCATTCTTGTAAATAATTTTAATTAATTTTGCAATTTTTAAAATCCAAATTAGCCCTGTAAAAATCTTTTTCGGGAACATAGCTGCCGCTGCGCCCCTTTTTCTAGGTTTTAGTGGTTATGGGCCCGCAAAAATTTTGGAAAGCACCCAAAAAAAAATTCCGCAGTGCGCGGCTAACGCTGCGCACCCATTTGATTTCCCCCCCCCCCCCTCCCCCGAATGGAAATCCTGGTAACGCCACTATTATATTGGTCTGTCCAGATTCTATACTTTCTGGCGATTTTTACGTTTTCAGAGCACTGTCACTAGTGCAGTGGTTGTGGACAATCCCAAGTCAAGCGCATCGTCCTTGCTTGACTTGATTGCTGCCAAGTCTGGCGGAAGTAATTCATCCGATTCTAGTCAAGAACAAATCCAAATTGCGGATGAAGCCAGTGAAGGTATAGAGTTTGTTGATTAAATGATCTAGATAATTAGGAAGGTTTTTTTTCTAGAAGCTGTGTCATTAGTGGAAGATTCCATCACTAAACTAAAGAATTTGCGAGCTACCGTTTTGTCACCAAACGCTGCTAATTTACGTTTGGAAATCAAGACGCTTCCGCCCATCAATCAGGTATCAACATGGATGAATTTTGGGAGTTTCTCATCATTTTCTTTTCAAGGTTCAATTTATCCAGCTGTGGAAGACCTTATACGATATGCTGAATGCAAATGAAGCAGATCAGCCTTTGTTCCATTCACTCGCGGTCGTAGGTAAGATCTTCGACATTTTTTTCAAAAATTTCGCACTGACAAGCTCACATTTGATAGCCAATAGATTTTAACCGTTCTCCTTGTCTTATCGTTTGTATGAAGAAACTCAATGATACTTTCATCTTTTCAATAATCGCGTTACGCAGGTTCCATAGTTGTGTTCTCCTTAATTTCATACCACTTAAGACTGTGGGTAATTTCAAAAACCTGAAATTCTGGCTTTGGGAGCTATCATGAGCTCTAGGCGCACTGATGTTGCGTTTATGATGCAGCAATAGATTGTAACCAAAGGTTGATCTAAGGCGCTACCGAGAGCAGAGTATCCGGGTTGCTCATGAGAAACTGATGGGAAGTCCTGACCTGACCAAGGATTGCTCAAAGGAAGTGGCTCGGCGAATTAGCCCGTGTCAGATTTTGATGGTGTGAGGTAGTGCCCCCCCCCCCCAGTAAAATGTTTACCCCACCTTCCAATTCTTGCGCTAAATCCTGAAAAGGCGCTTCGAAATTCCGCCAATGACGCTCACCTAATGGAAGCGGGCGGGGCTAGTGGAGTTTTAAAGCTTCTTCTTAGGTATTGGCGCATGATTTTTAAGGTGGGGTTGAGGCTACGGTTACTTGGGGGGGGGGGGGGAGGGATCTACTAGCATTTTGTCTAGCCACTGCCTTTGAGCGACAGCTCATGTTATTTATTCTTTGCCGCATTCGGCTCTAAAGTCCAGTTTAAACCATATTCTCTTCTGCACTTGCGGGTACCGCTTGATCAACTCGGGAGGAGTACTGTCTGGGCGAGAGTTGGATTTTTTGTTCACGAATAGATTTAGACGATATGTCATTTGGGGAGTGGTTTAGCTTTGGCCACCATTCATTAGCCAAAAATAGTCCATGCATCAAAGTTGTAGCGCCCTTCCAGTTGGAACATTTTTTTTTTGATTCTACCAATTTCCAGAGATTAAGATAAACGTTTTCTCATCAGGACCAGTTTCAGGAACTCTTCTGTTCCAACTTGGTGAAACACATCGAGAGTTGAGAGCCAAGATGGTAGCAGAAATAGCAGATGCCATGAAAGAAGACGGTGATAGTCCGTCGCCTGAAAAATCCGCATCACCCGAAGCGAAACAAGAGGATGAAGATACGCTAACACCAGAGGAAGATCTGAGCACTGCACAGAGGAGACGCATTGCTGCGCTTCAGACTGGGTAGGGTTTTGTTTTGTAATTTCGTTTGCTTGTTTGAATTTTTGAAGGTTTTTTAGTTAGATTTATTTTCGTTGGACTTCATAGAATCTGTTTTAGAGTGGACGAGAAAGAATGGCATATAAATTTCGAGCAAATTCTTGCCACACTACTTAGTGAACACCCGCTTGCAAATTATTTTGAAAGGAAATATACTTTACAAGGGCTTGTACGGAGGTGAGACAATTTTTTATTTTTATCTTTTTTACTCTGTTTTGCTGAACTTGTGGACAAATTTGTTGGCATGTTATGGTTCGCCCTTACATCTTTTTCATTTACCTGTAGATTTTGAAATGTGTTTGCTTTTAGATATCGTAAACATCGATTTGATTCGACGAGAAGTTCGGAATCGAATGGTTCGCAGCACTAATTTCTTACTTTGTACTTATCTGTAACATATCTTTCAACTATAATCACTTCATTTCTCTCATTCTTCGGTGATTCCTTCTACTTTTTTGATTCTTTCACTGAAAGCGACGAATTTACGTATTATCTGTAGATAACTGTGTCCTCCCTATGCTTGAAAATATGCCTTTTTTTGTGGGATTATTTGAGCTTTTTTTTCACTCATTAGCTTCAAACTGCATTCATTGTGCCTACTTTGCTCTAACAATTCTTCTTCCTCATTATATATCCTTTTTGAAGTTGTGATATATTCAAACAGGTTTTCTAGAAAATTTTCTTTCTTTCCTGCATAATCATTTCACCTTTCACTTGTACATAAACTTTCTGTATGGAGGTGTAGTTTTTTTAGCATTGGAGTTACACAAGTTGGCAAAAAAAAAAACAAACAATTTTCTTCTGCTTGATGACGCCGACGCATGAAATCGACCCGTTTTGCTTCTTTGGTGCCTTTGTTTATTTGTTTGAAGCTTTGGGAACGGAAGCGATTATATAAGGGAAAACGTGCAAAGAAGTAACATTGAGGTTTTTTATTTTTTATGAGCATCTAAAGACATATCTCACATTTGTAACTTGAAGGTAAAATAGGTCAACTTGTTTTGGTCGTAACATGCTTGAGTATTGATTTCAGATAAATTCTTATGCTTGCATTGAGTTCCTATAAAATCAAAGAATCATCTGTTTCACTAGAGTTGGCGGCTGGAGGGTGGGGATTTGATCGATTAGAGAGTATGTAAGCGTGGGAGAGTAGGCTCTGCATCTCTTGCTACGTGCTCTATAATCGACCAAAGTCCCGCCCTCCAGCCGCCAAGTCTAGTGAAACAGAGGGTAAAGTTTTCATGTCGTTCCTCGAACATTTTTTATGCTCTAGTGCGAAAGTTTGGGGCGAAAACGACTTGTGCTGCCACTGCGGAAGTGTCAGTTCTCAATAGCCATCATATTTTATTCTTTCAAACCTGTTTAAAATAATTTTGAAATTTGTGATATGCCAGAACTATAGAATTGCTCATTTGGAAAATTTGCAAAGAAAATACCGATTTGTAAAACTAGTTTAACTATCCATGATGTTATTCCATGCGTGGCAGTGTTTGTGAAATTTTCATGACGGAGTGGGAGAAGGTTACATTCGAAACTATGCAGATTCACGGAATATTCGGGATTATCAAATTCAGTTAGAGCTGCCAATCGTTTCGCCCTGTTATTTCCGCTGAACGTTCATGTTTTTGCAAAAAAGGGATGCATTTTGAGGTTTTGTAGATGTTATTTTTTATGCTGTTAATTCCTCAAGAGTATAAATGTAGTTAAAAAATAAATAAATATAATATCATCCAATATTCAGTTTTCAAAACTCATTCCAGCTGAAGATTTTAGGTTTCTAAGAAAATACTCGCGCATTTTCATGCTAGATACATATTTTTCAGGATTGATGCATAATTAATGCATGTTACTTATCCTTGCTTACTTGTAATTTAAGAAACATATCATCTGATAGAGCGAAGCAAGTTCTGCAAGATAGTGTCCAAATAATCTGGAAAAGTTCGACACGTTGAAAATGAGCAAGAAAAATCTGAAATTTTACGAGTGCTCAAAATCGAGTCTCTGTTCAGAAAAATCCTACAGATTTCTAAAATCGCTTATCCCATGAGGTATGCATATGTGCACTTGCTATATTTTTTTTTCATGTTTACAAGCTGAGACAATATAATAAAACTAAGCAAATTCCAGCAAAATTGATGCTGTTTGTCCCAACTTAGGTAATTCCATACTACACGACTTTGGAAGTATAACGATAATTTTTTAGCTTTCTCGAGGTTTAGTTGTTGAAAAACATCAAATTTAACATTAAAAAAACCGAAAAAGATGATACTTTCGAATTTTGGTTTATTTCTTATTGCAAATACAGTTATGAAAAAATTGCGGCAAGTGTACATTTGAATATCTTATGTGTATAGCATATGCTTGACCAAGTTGGCTGTCCACAGGATCTTTCTAGACGATCCAAAATTTTCTATTTTTTCCGCAACTTTCACGCAGTTGGAACCTTTTAGACTTTCTTGAATCTTCTCTGCCGCCTTAGAATAAGGAACATGCATTAATTTTGCATCAATCTGATACTTCCAAGCAGGATTCGGCACGAGGTGGCTTTCCGAGAATGCAAAAGACGAAGTCCCTCTAACTTTCGCAAAAATTTACGAAGTCTCTTTTGACCCTTGTCCAAAATATCCCAATCAACTAAAAAAAAAACTAAACATTTACTTAAGAACCTATTGGACCCACAAAAACGATATCCCCTTTGCTTTTTGTCCCCAAAACCAGCTTGCTTATAAGGCATGCACAGTGGAAGGGACCTAGGATTACCAGGGGAGGGGGGGGGAGTTTATTTTGTTTTAATATATTCACTGTGCGCCATAAATGAAAAAAATACACAAAGAAACATAAAGCAAATACAAAAAAGCAGCTAGTCTCAGTAGCAGAGCTAAATTTGGTAGGAGCATAGGGAAGCAAGAATTTGCCATTTTTCGACTGTTTTATTTTATCCGTTTTTTTTTCATTTCTAGCCATGATTTCACTAAATGTACATGTAATTTATGTGTCTATTAGACACATATACAATGTAAACAAAACCAAAAGAAAACAATAAGGTTACAAATATACAATTTCCGCCTCGATCTTGGACACTAGACGGAAATCAGAATAAACGTAGTACGGCCATCCCTGGATCTAATAGTGTGAGAAGGCCGTATGATTTGTAAACCAGAAAGAAATGAAAATAAAACAAAAGACTAACCTAAAATTCCTTGTTGAAGTCGTGGAGGTGCTTAGTGGGGGACTTTTTTTCAAACTTGGGTAATTGAACATGACTGACTGGAATGTCCGCAATATTTTTTCTCTTCTGAGAGCCGAATTTTGAGGTACTTGCTTTACTTTTCATGAAACACAGCTAATGCGATCTGATATTTATATCGCAATGGTTGTTTTGCTCTCTCGAACGGCTCCCACATGCAGTTTTTGGTGGGAACTTCAATTATTTTCGTGACAACCTAGTAGGAGAGATATGTCCCAAATCAAGTTTGTGGCTGTGTTGTTTGTCTACGATTCACTATTATTCTTCTTCTTGAATCTTGATCCAGGAAGTCGCTGAGCTTCCACTAATTGAGTCCTACGGCATCTCCTTCCGGGCTTGTAATGCAAGAAGAAGCTCGTATAGTAAGAACAGAAAGATATGTTCTTATGGATATCGCATAGCTTTTGAGAACAAACTGTTTATTTGGCGTGAGTGCAAGTCTTGTATAGCGAATAATTTGAAAATCTAAGGAAAACCCTTGAATGTTTATTTCTTGGAAAATTATATTATTCTAGGGCTCAAGGGATGCATTTTTGCGCATAAATTTGCTTGTAAAATAAATCACTAAAAATACCGGTCTTAACATTTTTCTTGCTGCTGTCAAAGTGTTTATTCAGATGAAGATTAGTGGAACGTTTATTTCAATTTTTAAGACACAAATTAAGTCAAGAAGGCACTTATCCTTCTTATTGAAGTGGATTGTAGGAAGTAAAAGCATTCTGTAATCACAGACGCATTCGCTTGAAATATTAAAACTTTCAAAAAATATTTTTGATAACCAAGTCATCTTGAGAATATCCTTATGAGTAAAGGAGCTCATCTTTATACGAATATTTGTAATGATCTACGAGGAAAGCTGCTGTGGACGTTTTTAATACAATTTTTGAGCCAGCGCCTTTTTTGGCTAGTTGAGAGTTTATTGGTAAGAAAGTAGAACAAAATTAGTAATCTAATACAAAAAATATGTATGCAGAAGCATAAAAGAGCTGTTTTTTTTGGAATTTTGAGCTGCAGCAGTTTCTACATCTTTCTCACATTTTAGTAGACCTAAATTGTTTGTCTTTGAAGATATAGAAGCTTTCATGTGAAAACTATCTTTTGTTTGTTATGAAGAAACATTCAGTGATTACAATTCATTCTCCCACGTTTGCTTCGAATGCCGCACAACAGCTCTCGAGCAATTGCCATACTTATTGTTCCAGTCGTTTTTCAGCCCCAGCAATTCAAGAGCTGCAGCTGCCATTCAAATTTGTACTCACAAAATGTTTCTGTAAAAAAGGTTTATCACGAGAATTTCACGTCAAGAGATTTTCTAATGCAGAATTCACATTGTATTTCAAAAAAAGGAGAGAATTTGTACGAAAATTTTTCTTCTGGGAAATTATTCCATTATAATTGGGCCTAATTTGAACTGAAAAGTATGTGGGGGTATACAAACGAATCAGAAAAAAATGCTTTTTTTGATTTTTTCGGAAATTTTATAGCAGATGTAAGGAAACGGAAAAGACATTAACACAAAAAACGATTTCAAATTCAATTCTCCTCTAGTAATGGCTTGATTTTACGAATCTCCTGAAATCTCCGAATCAATCAAAATATTCATGGAGATCATAAAACAGCGATATTAAGCTGTAAAATTTTGTCGTAACTGGAAAGCGATCTCGTCGGAAGCAAGCAATCATGTTGCTCGAAAAGAGCTCTCATGCACGTAAAATTGCTACTAGTCATCGATATAATGGCAACGTTTTTGGAACCGCCAGCTAGCTATCGCTTATCTTATATCTCACAATCGAGTCAAATATAGGATTAATAGTAATGAGCTCTGAGCTCAAAAAGTGGAAAAGAAGAAGAAAGGGGCCTTTTCTCGGTAATACAACGCGTTCGATACATCAAAGCATCACTAAATAACAAAATTATGGTGACCGAAATATTATAAACCTAAATCAGTGAAATTTCCCGTCAAATTCCACGTGATATGACAAAATTAATGTGCTTGCCCCTGTTCTTCCTCGGTGCTGAACAAACCGGAATAATTCGTTTCATCGGATCTGTGTTGTACATCTATATTTTTTGATGTTTCTCCCATTTCTTCCATTTTTTATTACTATTTCTCTGCATTTATACTTGAAAAGCCTGACAACATTACGAGGACGGGAATGCAATTGAGCACGATTTTTTGAACGCAGATCCTCTACGGACTGTCAATCTATCAGCTATTTTTGACCAAGATTTTTACAATGGTCTTAGATTGTGTACAGGATTGGGAAAAAGTCCTTGCACAATTTTTGATGTTCTTGTATGTTAGGACTTTCCATATTTGCTTTTTACACTCTTGAGTACAAGATCTACAGATGAGTACATCGTGGAAGAGGAACTTG